GAGAAGAGGACGCATAGAAAAATAGTTTAGAAAATCGGAAGGAACCTTGGTCAGCATGGTAACAATGCCCCAGCATCTCCTTGGCCCTGGTGCCCTCAAAAAATAAGAAAAAAGGCGTTCGGGTTTTTTTATTTTATTTTTTTTGGGGGGGAGGGGGGGGGGGGTTGAGTATTTCTCAAAAAATGTAACGAAATACATTTCACCCTGATTGTATCGCGATACAAAGGAACATTCAAAATGTATTTCGATACAGAAATAGATACTGGCGAAAAAATTGTATTGCGATACAGAAATACAGATACGAAATGTATTCCTGAAATACTATCGCGATACATTTGTATCGCGATACTGCCCAACCCTGCCGCACGCACGGTCCGATTTTCGGAAGGCCGCAGTGGCCGCAGCCAATGAGCACGGATGGCGAAGGTCATGTTGTCAAGTGACTTTCGGACCGATCGGGCGAGGAGGCGCAATGTGGTTCGGGGAAGCGGATGTGGCGGTGCGCGGTGCGTCACGCGCGGCGAGTCGTGGTTGTGAAGGAAACGGACGCCATCGAGTTTTCCCGCGCGCACAAAACGAGCCGCTGATTTCGAGCGCCAAAGCAAGCCTGCCTTCTGGGACCGATCGAGTCCGTCGAAACCCGAATATACTCCGTTTCACCTTACGATGGACAGCAGCGGACGCTACGAGCCATTCCAATGTCATGTGAGCTTCGGGAGAGACGCAGTTATGTGCGCGGTACGTAGTCACGTGATTTTTACGCAGTGCTCGTTTCTCTGGGGTGGCTCTAAGGTCCGCTGCGGTCCTTCGCGATTAAGTGATCTTGAGCAGAAAAACAGCCTCACGGAAAATCTTCACACACGCACACTTTAATAGAAGGTAATAAAAATATTATGTTTGTTTTAAAGTCAGAAAAACCAAGAAGGGCGAGGGAAGTATTTTAGTGTTCTAGGCTAGGTGGCGCGAGCTACCGCCCGTTATAAATATAGCCATTAGCAGCCATCCATCCATTTACCCGAAACTGGGCGGAGCTGAACGGAGCGACGCAACGACGCGTCGGAAACCACGTATCGCGAACTGTCCTGTGCGGCGATTCGGAGCAGCCATCTTCCCGACAGTTCGCACGCCGGATCGGACAGTTTTGACGCGCATGTGTCTCGCGCTTAGCGCAGCGCGGCGGATGGGTTAACGCGTGCCCCCGTTAAGCGCGAGACACATGCGCGAAAAAGCCATCCGATCCGACGTGCGAACCGCCGGAACGACGTCCGAGGGCAAGGGTTTTCGTCGCACCGGAGCGTCGGACGAGGCCTCCGTCCGGCGCCGGGGTGCGTCCAACTTGCCAGATATCGCCGCACGCACGGTCCGATTTTCGGAAGGCCGCAGTGGCCGCAGCCAATGAGCACGGATGGCGAAGGTCATGTTGTCAAGTGACTTTCGGACCGATCGGGCGAGGAGGCGCGACGTGGTTCGGGGAAGCGGATGTGGCGGTGCGCGGTGCGTCACGCGACGCGAGTCGTCGTTGTGAAGGAAACGGACGCCATCGAGTTTTCCCGCGCGCACTAAACGAGCTGCTGATTTCGCGCGCCAAAGCAAGCCGGCCTTCTGGGACCGATCGAGCCCGTCGAAACCCGAATATACTCCGTTTCACCTTAGGATGGACAGTAGCGGACGCTACGAGCCATTCCAGTGTCATGTGAGCTTCGGGAGAGACGCAGTTATGTGCGCGGTACGTAGTCACGTGATTTTTACGCAGTGCTCGTTTCGCTGGGATGGCTCTAAGGTCCGCTGCGGTCCTTCGCGATTAAGTGATTTTGAGCAGAAAAATAGCCTCACGGAAAATCTTCACACACGCACACTTTAATAGAAGGTAATAAAAATATTATGTTTGTTTTAAAGCCAGAAAAACCAAGAAGGGCGAGGGAAGTATTTTAGTTTTCTAGGCTAGGTGGCGCGAGCTACCGCCCGTTATAACTATAGCCATTAGTATCCATCCATCCATCTGGTAGAGGGACACCCGAAACTGGGCGGAGCTGAACGGAGCGACGCAACGACGCGTCGGAAACCATGTGTCGCGAACCGTCCTGTGCGGCGATTCTGAGCAGCCATCTTCCCGACAGTTCGCACGCCGGATCGGACAGTTCTGACGCGCATGTGTCTCGCGCTAATATTTTTATTACCTTCTATTAAAGTGTGCGTGTGTGAAGATTTTCCGTGGGGCTGTTTTTCTGCACAAAATCACTTAATCGCGAAGGACCGCAGCGGACCTTAGAGCCATCCCAGCGAAACGAGCACTGCGTAAAAATCACGTGACTACGTACCGCGCACATAACTGCGTCTCTCCCGAAGCTCACATGACATTGGAATGGCTCGTAGCGTCCGCTGCTGTCCATCCTAAGGTGAACCGGAGTATATTCGGGTTTCGACGGGCTCGATCGGTCCCAGAAGGCCGGCTTGCTTTGGCGCGCGAAATCAGCAGCTCGTTTTGTACGCGCGGGAAAACTCGATGGCGTCCGTTTCCTTCACAACGACGACTCGCGTCGCGTGACGCACCGCGCACCGCCACATCCGCTTCCCCGAACCACGTCGCGCCTCCTCGCCCGATCGGTCCAAAAGTCACTTGACAACATGACCTTCGCCATCCGTGCTCATTGGCTGCGGCCAGTGCGGCCTTCCGAAAATCGGACCGTGCGTGCGGCGATATCTGGCAAGTTGGACGCACGCCGGCGCCGGACGGAGGCCTCGTCCGACGCTCCGGTGCGACGAAAACCCTCGCCCTCGGACGTCGTTCCGGCGGTTCGCACGCCGGATCGGATGGCTTTTTCGCGCATGTGTCTCGCGCTTTAAGCGCGAGACACATGCGCGTCAAAGCTGTCCGATCCGGCGTGCGAACTGTCGGGAAGATGGCTGCTCCGAATCGCCGCACCGGACGGTTCGCGACACATGGTTTCCGACGCGTCGTTGCGTCGCTCCGTTCAGCTCCGCCCAGTTTCGGGTGTACCTCTACCAAATGGATGGATGGATGCTAATGGCTATATTTATAACGGGCGGTAACTCGCGCCACCTAGCCTAGAAAACTAAAATACTTCCCTCGCTCTTCTTCGTTTTTCTGACTTTAAAACAAAACGAACATAATATTTTTATTACCTTCTATTAAAGTGTGCGTGTGTGAAGATTTTCCGTGAGGCTATTTTTCTGCTCAAAATCACTTAATCGCGAAGGACCGCAGCGGACCTTAGAGCCATCCCAGCGAAACGAGCACTGCGTACAAATCACGTGACTACGTACCGCGCGCATTGCTGCGTCTCTCCTGAAGCTCACATGACACATGACATTGGAATGGCTCGTAGCGTCCGCTGCTGTCCATCCTAAGGTGAAACGGAGTATATTCGGGTTTCGACGGGCTCGATCGGTCCCAGAAGGCAGGCTTGCTTTGGCGCTCGAAATCAGCAGCTCGTTTTGTGCGCGCGGGAAAACTCGATGGCGTCCGTTTCCTTCACAACCACGACCCGCCGCGCGTGACGCACAGCGCACCGCCACATCCGCTTCCCCGAACCACATTGCGCCTCCTCGCCCGATCGGTCCGAAAGTCACTTGACAACATGACCTTCGCCATCCGTGCTCATTGGCTGCGGCCACTGCGGCCTTCCGAAAATCGGACCGTGCGTGCGGCGATATCTGGCAAGTTGGACGCATGCGGGCGCCGGACGGAGCCCCCGTCCGACGCTCCGGTGCGACGAAAACCCTCGCCCTCGGACGTCGTTCCGGCGGTTCGCACGTCGGATCGCATGGCTTTTTCGCGCATGTGTCTCGCGCTTTAAGCGCGAGACACATGCGCGTCAAAACTGTCCGATCCGGTGTGCGAACTGTCGGGAAGATGGCTGCTCCGAATCGCCGCACAGGACGGTTCGCGACACATGGTTTCAGACGCGTCGTTGCGTCGCTCCGTTCAGCTCCGCCCAGTTTCGGATGTCCCTCTACCAAATGGGTGGATGGATACTAATGGCTATAGTTATAACGGGCGGTAGCTCGCGCCACCCAGCCTAGAAAACTAAAATACTTACCTCGCCCTCGGTTTTTCTGGCTTTAAAACAAACATAATATTTTTATTACCTTCCATTAAAGTGTGCGTGTGTGAAGATTTTCCGTGAGGCTATTTTTCTGCTCAAAATCACTTAATCGCAAAGGGCAGCAGCGGACCTTAGAGCCATCCCAGCGAAACGAGCACTGCGTAAAAATCACGTGACTATGTACCGCGCACATAACAGCCACCACCGGACGCCACAGATGGGTTTAAACCATACATGATTGAGATGCTCGCCCCAGACCCAGGAATGGACAGCCCGTTCACGCCAGGGGAACTGGAAGCGGCGCTTCATGTCGGAAAGGCCCATGCAGCACCGGGGCCAGACAAAGTTACAATGACCATGTTAAGGAATCTGCCAGATCAATCAAAAGAAGAATATCTGAAAGAAATCAACAACGTCTGCGCGACAAGAAAGCTGCCGGAGGAATGGAAACATTCCAGCGTGGTACCCATTCCGAAACCAGGAAAAGACAAGGGATCCATCACCAACTATCGCCCCATATCCTTGACATCCTGCACATGCAAGGTAATGGAAATGATGGTTCTGAAGCGGATCGAGTGGTTCCTTGAAACAACAGGAGGTTTTCACGCTACGCAGACGGGCTTTAGGCCGGGGCTCGGAACGCAGGAAAGCCTCATGCTCATTTCGAAGGATATTATCAAGAAAAATAAAAAGGATGATTAGAACGATCGTCGCTATTGACGTAAAAAAAGCCTTCGACTCGGTACCGCATGCCGCAGTCATAGGAGAAGCTCAATCCTTGGGAATCTCTGGGAGACCCCTAAACTTCATCCGAAGCTTTCTCGAGGGCCGCACATACTCGGTTCGCTGCGGACGAGAGCAAGGTGGGAGGAGGACAAACAGAATCGGTGTCCCACAGGGCTCTGTGATTTCACCAATGCTTTTAACATAGTGATGGCAGCCTTACCGCACCAACTTGAACAGATCGAAGGACTGGGTCTAACGGTTTACGCCGATGACGTGACCATTTGGACGCAGACCGGAGACCTGTACCAACAACAAGAAACGCTACAAGCAGGCTTGGACGTCATCGAGAATCACCTGCGGAAGGTGGGACTCAGTGCGGCACCGGAGAAGACCAAGTATGTGGTCCTAGCCCCTTTTAAGGAGAGAACAGAAAAGATTGGAGAGAAGATGACCCTGGTGCTGGCTGGGAAAAGGATTCTCCCGTCTCGAGAGGTCAAAGTGCTTGGTCTGGTCTTCGAGGAGACTGGTACAGGGGACATCTGGCTTCAACAAACAAGCAGACATTGCCACTCAGCGCTGGGAGTCATCCGCAGACTATGCAGCGTTAGAGGGGGAGCGACTCTAGAGGTGGCCAAGAACATGGTCAAGGCACTCGTGACATCGCGGGTTTGCTATGGCGCGAGACACTACAATCTAACCAAAGTTCAGTGGGAAAGACTCGAGACACTCAATAGGCATGCGATGAGAGTGATTACGGGCCTACCCTTTTTTACTAAAAAGATAGAATTAAAGAAATGGGCGCAGCTCAACACTTTACAGGACACGGTCCAGGCCAGGGTCGTGGCGCACGAAGACTTCAACACACAAAGCAAGGAAGACAGATCCTGGGGCCGCTAGGCAACAACCTACACTCTAAGAAAAAAGAGAGCGCGACTTAGTCCCTCGGGGGACCAAATGCGCTGCCATCACCATTAGTTCCCTAGGGGAGCAACTGTAACGGGAGCAACTGTCGCGCCCCGTCAGTTAGTCCCTCGCACTAGCACCGTTGGGACGAACTGTTACACCGTTTCAAATGCACCTCGAGGACTAACTGTTAGGACCTTGCACTTGGTCCCCTGGGACCAACTGTTACACCGTTTCAATTGAACCCTGAGGACGAACTGTTAGGCCCTTGCACTTGGACCCTTGGGACTAACTGTTACACCGTTTCAAATGAACCCGAGGACCAACTGTTAGGCCCTTGCACTTGGACCCCTGGGTCTAAACGTTGCGCCCTTGGATTTAGACCTCTGGGACTAAAGGTTTATCCTTTACATTTGATCCCGAGCCACAAATCTCCGAAACGAAATTGTGGAGTTCAGGTTAAACGTAGCTTTATTGCCTCGTAGATACACATCGCATTCAAGGATGACTGAAGTCGAACTTCCTGGGCGGTAGAATCCACGATAATGCCAAATTCCGAAGAATGCACTTGCGTCGACGATGGCTTGGACACTGGGACGTCTGTCCAAGCCGGTCGTGGTCCCAGCACCGTTTATTGGGGCACCGGCAGCTTCTTGCCTGTTTGCGAGGAATTTGTATTATTTGGAGTGGGCATGGAAACAGCCTGAGGATGCAGTCTTCTAATCCGTTCTGCTTCATTGTACAGATCCTGCTTTGCCTGTGTTCAGCGCCTGTCTGGGCATCGCCGTTCTCTCAAGCCATCGTCACAACAACGCTGGCCACGGAAGGATTTCCAGTTTTTCAAGATAAATCCGACGTACGTTTTGGCGTACTCGCGTACTGGCCGCAGTATGCTTTTACCCGGCACAAGGAAGCTACCCCATCGACATCGACACTAATCAACGAGGCTTCAAAACCGTGGAACGTCGCCAGTTCTGTCAGTGGGCATGGAAACAGCCTGAGGATGCAGTCTTCTAATCCGTTCTGCTTCATTGTACAGGTGGGTTTCTCTCCGTCGTTACATACTAGACGAACGAATAACGTCGTTCTTCTGCTGTTTCCATGCCCAAGTGTTATTTGTGTTACGGTCATTGAGTGTTATGATGTGGTAAAATCGTTACTAGCACTTTCGGGCGACATTGAACTTAATCCCGGCCCCATGAGCGACGTTCAAGCGAAACAATTCGCGGATTTGATGCAGCTGGTGAGGGATATGAATGAACGATCTTTGAAATCTGAAGTTGGGCAAAACAGTTTACTAGACAGTGTGAAAGAAATAAGAGAAAGTCAGAGTTCAATCGAAAGAAAAATTAACGACATCGGTAATCGACTTACGCTTGTCGAGAATAAAGTATCTGCGCTTGAATTGGTTGACCAAGATTTTAACACAGTGAAATGTCTCGCTGAAAAATTAAATTATGACAACGTCACTTTGAATGACCGTCTAAACAACCTTGAAGATCTATCACGTAGGGATAATCTAATCATTTATGGTTTGGCGGATTCTCCGTCCGAAACTTGGTCCGTTACTGAAAGAAAAGTTCTCGAGCTTGCTTCTGGCTCTCTTGAGCTACAGGTGCCCCCAGACTGCATTGAGCACTCACACCGCATCGGTGCTTTTAGTGCCAATCGCTGTCGCCCAACAATAGTGAAATTCTCCTCCTATAAAGTCAAGAATTATGTATTTTCGTCGCGTTTTAAGTTGAAAGGTAGTGACATTTACATCTGTGAAGATTTCTCGCCAGCAACCCGCCAAGCTAGGAAAAAACTAACTGAGTTTGGAAAAGCCTCTAAAAATGTGTTTCAACTACGCTACAATAAACTGTTTATTAACAAGAGGTGTTATATGTATAACTCAGTGTCTGACGAAGTGTTTGATCTCGGTGCTGGTCCTGATAGGAGTGAAGGTGATAACGTCAACAGGCCTCCCCTTAACTTGCATCAAACGCCCTCATCTGATAGGCGCGAAGGAGATAACGTTAACATGCCTCGTAACACACATCAAGCGTCTTCTTCACCATAACATGTGGCAAGGGGCGTGGGTGCTATTCCTTCTTCCAAAAATGTGTCAGCACTTTTTAGCAATATAAGGAGTATTTTACGTCATCGTGATGAATTGTGTTCAGTTATTGATTCTTGTAGCGCTGACGTAGTAGCTTTAACCGAAACGTGGCTGTCATCGAATGTTCGGAATTGTGAATTATTTAGTTGTGATAAGCGTTTTAATGTCTGCCGTTGTGATAGGGGTGCACGAAATGGAGGTGGCGTTTTATTGGCAGTTGCCGATCATATTGATTCTTTCTGTGTGCGTTTGAATAGTGATTTAGAAATAGTTTGTTGTTGCTTGTGTTTGAACTTCCAAAAAGTTATCTTAGCCGTGTGTTATCGTCCGCCATCAGCTAATCCTTCTTTTGTTTCGAATCTTCATGATGTTTTGAACTCAATAATAGTGCGCTTTCCTTCATCTCCCATACTCCTCCTTGGTGATTTCAATTATCTTCAAATAAAATGGTCTCACCCGCATATTTTCTCTAACCCTTTCTCATCAGATGCGGAAGATTTTATAAAGTTATGTGATGTTGTTGTTGTTTGCGGGTTTTATGGCGCAACAGCAACGGAGGCCATACTGCGCCAGACTAAATTAACTGATGAAACTCCTATAGTTACTTCATTACAAAAAGATGATCCTGAAAAAACTGGGATTAGATCTGGTGTATAAGGCCAGTATTAGTAATATATGATAAAACTCGATCAAGAGGAACGAGAGGGTGCTTTCCCAGCAAAAGAGCGGGATGAAATGGAATACAAAATCTAAAAAACTCAGGAAAATGAGCGCGTCGTTCAGTGTCGAATTCCGGGCAGATCCACAAAATATGAAGAATAGTAAGATTGTCTCCACAGTGCTCACAAACTGGTGGATCCTCCCCACAAAGGAGATATATGTGTGTAAGGAAGGAGTGCCCGATTCGAAGCCGGCACAATACAACTTCGTGAAAGCGGTTCTTAAGTGAGGAGCTTTCCCAACGCCCAAGGACTGGTTTGCTCACATGGAGCTTGTTATTAGTCTCCATGGCCCACTCTGTCTGCCACAAACTAAAAAGTGATGACTTAATTAATGATCTGATATCCTGATAGGGCAAGCTTGCTTGATATTTAGAGAAGTTACCTGAAGATGCAGCGAGCCTGTCTGCCTCCTCATTACCCCTTATACCCATATGACTCGGAACCCAGCAGAATTTTATATTGTGACCCTTACGTAAAGCTCCGTTAAGTTTACTTCGCACCTGTTCCACAAGCATATTCTTAGTGGCTTTTAGAGAGCATATTGCAGTAATAGCACTTTGAGAGTCCACAAATATTACGGCCTGTCTAGTTTTAGTCTTCAGAATATAATCCAATGCAAAAGACACAGCATAGATTTCAGCAGTAAATATACTCGCAAATTTCTCTAGACGTTTAACTTTTACAAAACGACCTGAATGCACGGCACACCCGACAAACGATGAAGTCTTGGCACCGTCCGTGTAAAAGTGAGCATAATCTTTATATTTCTCTTCCAGGTCTAGGAATTCCTGCTGAATCACAAGCGCAGATATGCTATTCTTATTAAACTTAGTTAAAGTCCAGTCGCAAAAAACACGCACTACATTCCAGGGCATAACGCAGGCTGTGTTCTGAATTAGGTTAAGTTCGTCCAGATGAAGTTGAAGTGAGGAACAAAATTGCTCTATACGAAAACTTAAGGGTCTCGCAATGCTTGGCTTATTTTCAAAGAGACGGTAGAATTGAGATCTTTGTACGGAATGATACGTTGGGTGATCAGGGTTTGCTAAGATCTTAGACGCGTAGGTTAGGCTGAGGTATTGACGTCTTTTAGACAGCGACATCTCATTTGATTCCGCATACAAACTAAGTACAGGCGATGTCCGAAAAGCACCTGTTGCCAAACGCAAGCCAAGATGATGTACAGGATCCAACATCCTGAGAGCAGACGGGCGAGCTGATCCGTACACCACGGCGCCATAATCGAAACGAGATCGCACAAGCGCGGCGTACAAATGCAACAGACATTTCCGATCCGACCCCCATGATTTATGAGCCAAAACTTTCAGAAGGTTTGTGGAACGAAGGCAAATTTCCTTGAGAAATCTCAGGTGGGGAATGAAGGTAAGTTTTTTGTCAAATATAACACCAAGAAACCTGTGCTCCTTCCTAACAGGGATCAGAGTACCGTTTAGTTCCAAAGCTGGGTCTAAGGAAAGCCCGCGACGTAGGGAAAAAGGCACACAGACTGTCTTTGCAACAGAGAACTTGAAGCCATTTCCGTCCGCCCACTTACAAAGTTTGTTTATAGCCAGTTGTAACTGCCGCTCACAACTAGAAAGATTGCAAGAAGATGAGGAGATCTGTATATCGTCGGCATAAAGAGAGTAGGAAATAGACCGAGGTAGCATTTGTGCGAGAGAATTCATTTTCAGTATAAACAAAGTGACGCTCAAAATGCCCCCCTGTGGGACTCCGTTTTCTTGAACAAAAGGTTTAGAAAGGGTGCTGCCAAGCCGGACTTGAAAGGTTCTGTTTGTTAAAAAGTTCTTAATGCATTGCAACATCCTACCACGGATATTGCAAGCATACAAGTCTTTCAGGATACCATATCTCCAAGTGGTATCATATGCCTTGTCTAAGTCAAAAAACACTGCAACACAGTGCTGCTTGTTCACAAATGCTTCGCGTATAACGGTTTCCAGGCGAACCAAATTATCGAGAGTAGATCGACCTCGGCGAAACCCGCACTGATATTTGTCAAGAACCTTTTGCCTTTCTGATATGTATATTAACCGCCTGTTTATAAGCCTTTCAAATGTTTTCCCGACACAGCTCGTCAGAGCAATGGGACGGTAACTTGATGGTAGTGAAGGGTCTTTCTGTGGCTTTAGGAGCGGGATGACATGTGC